CTACTGTGAAATTTATATGGAAACACAAGAGGCCACGAATAGCCAAGGCAATACTCAGTCAAAAGAACAATGCAGGAGGTATCACAATACCTGACTTCAAACTATATTACAAAGCAATAACAATAAAAACAGCATGGTACTGGCACAAAAACAGACATGAAGACCAGTGGAACAGAATAGAGGATCCAGATATGAAGCCACACAACTATAAGCAACTTATCTTTGACAAAGGAGCTAAAAATATACGATGGAGAAATAGCAGCCTCTTCAACAAAAACTGCTGGGAAAACTGGTTAGCAGTCTGCAAAAAACTGAAACTAGATCCATGTATATCACCCTATACCAAGATTAACTCAAAATGGATCAAGGATCTTAATATCAGACCCCAAACTCTTAAGTTGATACAAGAAAGAGTAGGAAATACTCTGGAGTTAGTAGGTATAGGTAAGAACTTTCTCAATGAAACCCCAGCAGCACAGCAACTAAGAGATAGCATAGATAAATGGGACCTCATAAAACTAAAAAGCTTCTGTTCATCAAAAGAAATGGTCTCTAAACTGAAGAGAACACCCACAGAGTGGGAGAAAATATTTGCCAATATACATCAGACAAAGGACTGATAACCAGAATATATAGGGAACTTAAAAAACTAAATTCTCCCAAAACTAATGAACCAATAAAGAAATGGGCAAGTGAACTAAACAGAACTTTCTCAAAAGAAGAAATTCAAATGGCCAAAAACACATGAAAAAATGCTCACCATCTCTAGCAATAAAGGAAATGCAAATTAAAACCACACTAAGATTCCACCTCACCCCTGTTAGAATAGCCATCATCAGCAACACCACCAACAACAGGTGTTGGCGAGGATGCGGGGAAAAAGGAACCCTCTTACACTGTTGGTGGGAATGTAGACTAGTACAACCACTCTGGAAAAAAATTTGGAGGCTACTTAAAAAGCTGGACATCGATCTACCATTTGATCCAGCAATACCACTCTTGGGGATATACCCAAAAGACTGTTACTCCAGAGGCACCTGCACATCCATGTTTATTGCGGCACTATTCACAATAGCCAAGTTATGGAAACAGCCAAGATGCCCCAGCACTGACGAATGGATTAAGAAAATGTGGTATCTATACACAATGGAATTTTATGCAGCCATGAAGAAGAACGAAATGTTATCATTCGCTGGTAAATGGATGGAATTGGAGAACATCATTCTGAGTGAGGTTAGCCTGGCCTAAAAGACCAAAAATCGTATGTTCTCCCTCATATGTGGACATTAGATCAAGGGCAAACACAACAAGGGGATTGGACTATGAGCACATGATAAAAGCGAGAGCACACAAGGAAAGGGTGAGGATAGGTAAGACACCTAAAAAACTAGCTAGCATTTGTTGCCCTTAATGCAGAGAAACTAAAGCAGATACCTTAAAGCAACTGAGGCCAATAGGAAAAGGGGACCAGGTACTAGAGAAAAGGTTAGATCAAAAAGAATTAACCTAGAAGGTAACACCCACGCACAGGAAATCAATGTGAGTCAATGCCCTGTATAGCTATCCTTATCTCAACCAGCAAAACCCCTTGTTCCTTCCTATTATTGCTTATACTCTCTCTACAACAAAATTAGAGATAAGGGCAAAATAGTTTCTGCTGGGTATTGAGGGGGGAGGGAGGGGTGGAGTGGGTGGTAAGGGAGGGGGTGGGGGCAGGGGGGAGAAATGAACCAAGCCTTGTATGCACATATGAATAATAAAAGAAAATGAAAAAAAAAAAGAAGTGAATAATGAAGCAGATTGCAAATTATAATTTTTTTCCATTTATTCACTCCAGGAGACATTGTATGGCAAAGTCACTGCTATTATTTTACGACTCTAAGAACTATCATATATATGCTCATTTATTTATTTATTTAAAGAAACAAAGGGAGACTTTAAGAATTAGAGATTCATTTACTTAGCTCTAACTCTGAATTAACTTAAGTCTGATAAATATTACAGACCAAATCTTCAAACACAATCTACTTTATGGTCTGTTTAGAGGCACACAGGATCCTCGAGTGGAATAGTGTGGCTTTATGAAACTCAGTATGTGTCAAATTTTAATTTCCTTCCATGACAAAATGACAGAACTTACAGCTTGGAGCAAGAAATAGAGTCCATTTATCTGTCTTTTACTCAAGTTTTCAATTCTGTCAAACATGTGATGCCCAGCAGCCAGCAAGCAAAATAAGTAGAGCACTGTGCTTTTCATGCAAGCCCTGGAGTACTCATGAGAACTCTTAAATACAGAATGCATTCTTATTGGAGAGGGTTATCATTTTTAAAGTATTCTAGTTCTTTTTAAAAAGAGTATTAACTTATAGTTACATATGATTATTACATTACTAATATATTACACATAAATTATATACAATTATATATAATCCATCCAATGTGCCAGGCCATGGCTGCAAATATGAAATGATTAAAATACTTCCCATACAGAGAGGAAAGTCAAGTAAAAGAGTTTGATATTCTAAAACTATTCCTGTGGACAACCATCTGAATACTTCAGCAGCTCAGCCAGAAGGACCTGCTAGATCCACTCGTCTAAATCAATACTCCTCAACTCAGGCTGCAGGTTGCCATGGGCCATTTTGAAGTACAGCTTCCTAGTCCCACTTCTGAAGATTCCATGGACAATCACTACCTCATCATAGTGAAAGTTTAAAGGGGGAGTCTCCTGAAATTTCAATTCCTTGTTTGACAAGTATTTATTGAGCACAGTGACAGGCATTCTTCTAGGTCCTTGAGGTACAGTGGTAAACATAGGAACAGTCTTTGCCCTCAAGAACCTTATGGTCCAGATGACATGGATACTTTGAAGAGGCAGTAGAGGGCACTGTGGGAGGCTGCAGGCAAGGCTAGAGGAATGTAGTTTGAGAATTAAGAGGAAGGCTTTCCAAAGGAAAGGAGGTTTGAGTTGGGTTTTAACAAATGAGCATGAGTTAAGTGGGGACTCATCAGGGAAAGCGAACAGAAAAAGGCCCTGTAATGGAAAGGGACATTGTCATCGAGTTCCTGTATCTTGTACTACAGTGCTGTGTAAATCAAGAAAGGCTCCTCTGTGCATGCAGCCCAGAGCAAGGTACACAGCTACATGAACAGGGTGGATCTCAGAACCACTGATCCCTCAGCTCTCTCTCTTGGATGGATCTGTGGGTGATCCTTTGCAAAGGATTATGCCTTTGTAAATTCACTCATTGAATAAAACCAAGAGTGATGTCTGAGAGGACAGAGACAAAGAGAAGAGGGCAAAGTGATTTAGGCTTCCCAACTGGGCTGTGCTAAAATCCTTGGCCTTCATTCTAAGACTAGTGAGAAGGTTTTGGAGCCATAGAATAATCCAACCAAATTTAAGGATAGAGGAATGACTCTCAGGGATGAGCCCACCACAGGGGTCTGGAGGACAGAAAGTGGTGGCTAGGCTAGGATGGGTGCAGAGAAGCTGAAAAGTGGAGGACAGGTGGGGGAATGATTTACAAGAATCTATTCATAAGATTTGGTGGTCGATTGGATGGGAGAGTGAAGAAGAAAGAACATCAAAAAAGTGTCCCAAGTTTCTCACTTTTGCAACTGATACCATTTACTGAGATGAGAAATACTAGTGAGGAAACAAAACACAAACACATGCACACATGCATGCATGTAACTCCTAGTCAGAAAGTGAGAGGAAGATTCAGTATAATTATTATCACTGCTTAAAAGAGAAAACCACTCTCCTCGCAGAAGCAGGCCAAATCAGGCCTAACAAGCCTAGAATCTGTTCACATCAATAGAGATCAGCCTTTGTGCCTCCACCGATCCATATGCAATGCACAATAATGAATGGTTCTAGGGGTCAAATAATCTGAACCATGGTTAGAATTGAATTTTATTTGAACTGCAACCATATAAATATATATATATATACACAATATCACATATTATACAAGTTTGCAAGATATCTTCCGACCATCCCTAATCCATTCTTTTCAGTTCCCAAGTAGTGTCAAATTCATAAGAACCCCCAAGGCAGGATCAATTCATAGAAAGTCTGGTGCAGCCTGAAAGTACACCATGCTTCCCAGAGGGCCAAATGAGGTAGGGCTATTTGTAGGTCTGGATAAGATCTCTCTCAAAGTCACACAAAAGGATTACTTTAATATCTTGAGCTCAAGTTTAAATTCAGTTGTTACTAATTCCTCAGTCTATTTGGTTCATATTAAAATGAAAAATATATAACCTCCTCAAAACACATTTCCTTAAAAGAAAAAAGATTGCTAGAAGGCAATTTTGTCACTTGTGATTTCTGAAGAAACAAGATCTTTCTTTGCATCATCAAGAATTTTCATTTGAAAATAAGTGTTTAATCCAAAGGTGTTATGTTCTGTGACGAAATCACAAACATAGACATGCACAAACCTCTAATTCCATTCTGTGGTACACTGAAATCTTATGAGGATAGAAAAGAAGTATGGCCATATTTCTCTAAGAGCAACTCTTCCATACAGACCAACATTTTTTCTGACACTTTTATCTGTAAATATTTTGAATGCACATGATCAATTTCCATCACTGTCCAACACCTAGAAATGCCTGACAATATCCTAAAATGAATTTCTGAATCAGTTTCAGAAACACAGTGACTGGTAACTGTATCTACAAATGGCTGATCTATTTTGATGTGAGCTTAATTAATGCTGCATATGAAACTCAAATGTCACAATCCAGTAGTTTGAAAATTCAATTATTAGACTGATTTAATTAACTTATTCTAAAATGGAATTTGAGTTTAATTTAATATATTAAATTATCTTAGAATAAATTCATTTTAAGATAAAAGAATTCCATGAAATTTCTCCATTATGATTTTAGCCTGTGGATGAGAACTATATGAAAATACTACAAACAATACATAGCTTCAACATTCCAACTTGATCTACTGACTTGCAGGGGAGGGTTGAGTTCACGAGTTATAACATCTGGTCACGAAGTCTAAGCTGCTTTTTGATGAAGTTTGAGATTAGAAGTTGAGGCCGTTGCTGGTACTCCACCAAAATGTCATGGGACAAGTTGATCTGGTCACAATTGAGTCTATCAAGAAGTGTCACACAGACCACAGCAGCTAAGAGAGCAAGAAACACGATTACAGAAGTGAATGGGTTTATCTTCTCAATAGGAATATTAGTCTAAACACCAAAATTCATAGCATGTACGAAATTCAGAGCAGACAACCTGTGGAACCCTGAGTCTTCTATATAATGCATATTTCTATAGAATCCTTCCAAAGACTTTATTGAACTAAGTTAATTGAAAATATGAACACTTCTCTTTCTCCTTTTGTCCACAGTTGATTAGAGTAAGACTCAGGCAAGTAGTGTGTTCAAGAAAAGAACCAGGAGAGATCTTTGCCTCCAAGACACCCAAGCTCTAACTCTCAATCCTACTTCTAGCTCTTAGAGAAATCTCTTCTACTTGAGAATGAATGGGGGGAGGGAACAGTTAGCTATTATTCCTGATAGTGGCATTTTTTTTTTCTCCTCAGTGCTATGTTTGAGTTTGCCTACTGTCAGTCCTTCCTGGAAAGTAAAGCAAATAGAGGAGATATGGAATGCTGACCTAGGAAATACCATTGAAGGTGAGCACTGATTCTCATGAACTTTAGGAAGAAATACCTGAAATGAAATGCTTAAACATAAGAACCAGCTCCATGAAAGAGCAAACACATGAGAGTAAAATCCTATGATAGATAAGAATGTAGGGGGAATATATATACTTTTTTAGTAGTACAGGGGTTTGAACTCTGGACCTTGTTCTTGCTAGGCAGGTGAAAAATATTTTTTTTTAAAACAAAATCTTCATTTTTGAAAAGTTGCCATAAGGGTGTATCTTTGGTTCATTCTATCGAAGAGCCAGAGAGAAAAACTGGGCACTATACAAATTCTTTATTGCCCATTTCACAACAAATCTTTGATTCCATGGAGTGTGGTTACCTACCTTGGAATCAGTGTTGAGCGCTTTGAGTTGATAACAGCACAATTATCTTCATCTGTATCTGCACCATTTTCAATAGGATGTCAGTGCAAATGGGATTAGATGTGTCTATATTAACAAACTTTGAGGGCCTACAGCTGGGCATAAGTGTGATGTCTATTTTTTGTCCCTGTACTACCTCCAACTGGATCTGGATTTGGGATGTATTCTATAATCATAATAGTACGTGTTACCTTTTAAATTTTACTTTTAATTGATGAATAATAATTGTACATATTTAAGGGTACAAAGTGACATTTTAGTAGATGTATGCATTGTAGAAAGATTCAAACCAAGCTAGTAAACATATCCATCACCTCACATACTTATCATTTTTGTGATGATGAACATTAAAGTCAACTTTTTTAGGTATTAGGAAATATACATTATAATTAATTATTTTTCCATGTTGTGCAATAGATCTCTAAAATCTATTCTTCCATCTAGCTGAAAATTTGTACCCTTTGTCCAATGTCTCCCCATTTTCTACCTTTTCCACATTGTAGCTCTAATTTGCATTTCCTTGATTAGTGATGAACATTTTTTCACGTATGTTAGGTCTTTTGCCTATTTTTGAAATCAGGCTATTTGTTTTCAAGCTGTTAAACTGCATGAGTTCCTTATATATTTTGAATACTAACATCTTATCAAATATATGGCTTGTAAATATTTTCTCCCAATTCTTTTTTTTTTGTTTGTTTGGTTTAGTCCTTGCTATATGCTGGACATTTATGATACCATCTAATTTATACAAGTGTGCCATGAGCTAGTATTATTTTTGTTCTCCTTTGACAGATGATGAAATGAAGGTTTAGAAAGGTCAAACCAATGACCCTCATGATGCAACTGGTAAATAAGTAATAGCCAATCAATTTCCGGCTTCCAAAACTGCTGAGTTCTCTTTCTTCCATCCTCTGCTCTCATGAGCTGGGACATGCTGAGCCTTTAGGCCCTGCCCTGACCTATGGGCCAAACCAACCTTCTCGTTCAATGAAGTGAAAAGCAATGAAAATATTCAATTTGAACTGAGTAAAATATTTCATCACCTGGGACCCTATTTATTCAAAATTCACTCAGTTGTCAAGCAACTTGGCTGAGCAGGTAAACAAGCAAATGAAAGAGCTAGAAATGTTCCCCAATGTTTCAAGTTAATGAACAGCGAGTCTATGAAGCCTGACTGGGCTGGCAGTGGCAGGGAAAAGTTGAAAGTCTTTCTCTAATCCATCAGTTGGCAGAAGGATGAAAGGAAACCAGTGCTCTGTACTTTTCACAGAGCAGGAGCCAACTTCGCTAAATGTCTTCTGGATTTCAAGGGTGCGAAAGATGGGAAAGAACAGGCAATAGCAATTGTAGTGGTGTTTTCTTGACCCCAAAGAGCCCATTAACAAGCAGCATATAATAATCTTGTCACCTAAAATTACTATTTCCACTAGCAATTAAAAGGGACTAATTACCCAAAACAATTTGTCAAAATTAAACCTGTCAGCTTTGCTACCATAATCCTCAGATTAGGCATGGAGGGTAACTTCTGGGGCTGGAGGGACACTTAGTGTCATAGCTGTCACCAAGGAGGTTGTTGGCTAGCTGACCTGAGGATAGGATGTAATGAGAACACACTGATAAGAACACGGTGCTTACTGTACCAGAGCTGCACCAGGAATGACCAGCAATTATCAGCCCTTTGATGTCAATCATGTTCTCTTTGAAGAGCTGATGAAAGTTGTCATTGGAACCTCTTTTCATACAAAAACAAATATATACGCATGCTTAAACACCCAAAATATCAGTGTATAATTTCAGGGAGCCCAGGGCCCTGGAATGTATTGAATTTTTACAAATCCATGGAGCCCTGTGGACTGCCACATTAGCTTCACCTCTCTGTTCAGAATGAACTTCCAGGGAGGTTTTCCCATCCAGTGGACACTGATAGCAGAGCTGGGCACCGGTACTCACACACACAATGGTAACCAAGCAGGCTGACATTTAGAAAATGAGACAGCAGCAAAGGCTGGCATTGGGGCTCTGGGCCCAGCCATTCTTTCTGCTTCTCTTCCTCTCCCACTTCCTGGCCCTTTTCATACCCTGCACACATCTCCATTGTTCCTCAAGGGTTGGAGTTTATAAAGTGAACACTCTACTGCTCCAATGCCTGATATAGAAGTATAGAAAAGATAGGAATAGTTGCTTACTCAAAAACCCAGGGCCTTTGCACCTTCTGTGCAAAGCCTTGAGAACTCAATTTCAGGCTATTGGCTGCTAATCACAACCCAGGTGGAAGAAACTTACATTCTAAGGAGCTGGCCAAGGCTAGAGACATACAAGTTGTTCTTCTAGGTTGGTGTGTCTCAGAGTGTGCTCACTGGGCACTTATATCAGAACCACAGATGGTTAATCATGCAACCTCTTAGGCTCCATCCCAGATATACAAACCCAGAATGCACAGGGGTTGGAGGGTGGTAAATCTGTATAGGAAGCAGATCTTCCCATTACATCATTTACACAGTATTATTTGAAAACTACTGCTTTAAAGACTTTAAAATCTAACCTTGATTTAAATCAAATTACCACAGATTTACACACCTGGACTCTAATTCTTTAGGTCTCCAAAGAAATGCTGAATTAGCTGAAAGCAAGATTTTCCATTATACCCTATGAACAATTGTCATAAATGTGTTATTAAAGACCCTGCCTATTGTAATATAGCTGACACTCTAAAATTAAAGTGAATCTTTAATATAGCTGACACTCTAGAATTAAAGTGAACCAACCACAACCCTAGACCCTGACTTTAATTAAAAATACATACAATCTTACAAAGCAAAAAGAAACAAATAATGTTTTAATCTTGTCTTTATAAAAGTAATAGTGAAAGATAGCTAAAAGACAGGATTTTTCATGTTTTACCACAAAGAAATGATAAATGTTTAGGGTGATGGTTGTGATTATACCCTGATTTGATCATTATAAAAGCTATCCATGTATTGAAACTCCACACTGTTCCCCATAAATTTGCAGTTATTATGTATCAATTTTAAAAAAACCAAATACTGCCAGTTGTGGTGGTTCATACCTGTAATCTCAGCTGAGGCAGGAGTTTGAAGCCAGCCAGCCTGGGATACATGGCAACACCTTGCCTCAAGCAAACAAATAAGTGAGTTACTTATTTTTTAGATTCTTGGACTGATTTTTCAGATTCTAGGACTGATTTTCATGGCAAAATAATTGTTAGGCTTATTACTGAGTAAGTAGCTCCTTAATGTCTTATTTGAGTCAAATGCTAGCTCTTGGGACATGCTCAGACTTTAAGGTTTGCTTGCTGAAGCAGCACAATTATCTACGTACAAATTTTAAACAAAAAAATCTTCACTGGTGCTCAGTGGTGTACATTTTGGTTCTTCTGTCCAGAGACTACAAACCTTGCATCTCCCTGGGGAGGCTGCATGGTGCCACAGGGATAGAGTTGGAGCTGAGTTCAAGTTCCAGCTCAGTCTCCTCTCCACCCTGAGAAGGTAAGAAAGTTATTTAACCTGAGCCACAGTTTCTTTTTCTCTTCTGAAAGTAAAGAGAGCTGCAAGTGATTGCTTCATACCTTTGTGTAATACTGTTTCAAAATCCTGATTTATCTCCATTTTAAGATTAACAAATAGTCCAGTTCCAAACTTACTATAAGTTTTAATTTTAGCTGTAATATTTTTTGGACTTTACCACTGGTCACTGCTCAGTTCCCAGAGCCCAGTGACTTTCATTGCTGGGAACAGCAAAAGAATGTAAAAATGAAATTAAAGTCAAGCTTCTGCTCTGTTTTATTGAATAGTTATAAAGTAATATTATGAAGACTGAATATATCCCCAAAGTTACAAGTATCTGTCAAAAGAAATAACACTGGATTCTTCCTTTTCTGTAAAGAAAAGCCACTGTGAATTGCAGCCAAATAAAGACACTGAAGAGGATTTAAGCAGAGTGTAACCTTTGATAAATATTAGGTTTCATATTTTGCCTTGTAAGCACATGTCAAAGGCAGCACTGTCTTTACAAACTGGATACAAATAAATAGATTTATCACAGTTTGAAAGGAGTATCATCTTTAATCAGAATGTTAGGTGTTTAAAGTATATTCTGTTTTAAGAGAGAGACAAATACATTCATATTATAGAATAATAGAGAAATGCACTTATTCTCCATTGTACAATTTTACATTTTGATGTAGAATAATTTGGTGAGTTCCTCTACTTCTCTTCACTTGAATCTTTGTTAAAGCAGTACTGGATTGTCCAAGAAAATGAGATCAGTAGAGCAACAATGTTTAATGGGCAGTGAATGGGAAGCCACAGTCTAGGCAGTGTGTCCAACTATCAAATATCAAGAGACCCAGGGACTGCAGATACAGCAAAAGAAGCATCTGTACAGACCTAACAGCAGAGGAAAACCTTGACCTGTTTGGTTAGTAGGCACTCCTGGTTTTCAGACAATTCTAAACCGCTGATGTGGCTGGGGAACAATGGATTCAGTTTTCTATGGACATTTCTTAGGTTAAGGAAAGGCTAGTAGTCTTTTCATTCATCCATTCATTCAGCAAAAATCTTTGAACATCCATATGGTAGGCATTATTGTAAGTGATGGCAATACAGCAATGCTAACAAAGTCCCTGTTCTTATGGTTCTATATCCTAGTGGAGAGAGATAATAAACATATACTTTATGAATTAATATGCATGAAATAATATATAAGTAAATAAAAAAAAACAGAAATGTGATGCAGAGAAATGAAGTGCAATGACACAGTGTGAGTGAGTGGGTTTGGGTACTTATACAAGGCTTCCCTGTGGGGTTGACATTTGTAGGGATAACTGACCTTAATTGTACAGAGAAGTGGTCATCCACACAGACCCATGATCTCCATGTGCCATGGAGCTTCTTGAACAGAGGATATTAGGACAGACCAATGATAAGCAACATGGGACAAGAGATTTCACCTGGCACCGAGAACCCAGGTCTCGTCGTTGCCTTCGGCTTCCGAGGCCTGTCTCCACTGAAAATTTAGCCCCTGCCACTGATGGAGCCCACCTCATCGTCTCTCCAGGCAACCTTCTCTGATGACCTTTCCTGTCTCTTTAAAATCACCAGATGACTAGATAACCAATCTGAATTCATACCAAGGTGATAGCTGATAGTTTCAGCTTATAAACAACATTTTATATAAACAAGGGTCTTCTAGGAACCCAAGGTCATAATTCTGAAGTGTCATTCAGAGTCCAGGCCAATGCAGAAATAGAACTTTCTGGCTGCTTGGGAATGCGCCCTCAGCCCTTCCCTAAGCAAACTTTCCTGGCTTACAGAGCAAAAGGTGCCAGGAGCCAGCCTCCAACAGAACTGCAGTGGGGCGGATGTTATGAAGTGGTAATGAAAGATGGGAACAAAATAGCAAGCTGTGCATGGGGCTTTTGTCTGTGTACTTGACAGCTGGTCTTCCAGGAATCTACATTTTGAAACAGTCATGTCTGAGGGAGATAAAGAGCCCCTGTCAGGATAAAGAAATTTGTACAGGAATACCCAAGAACTACCAAGACAGGTTACAGATGCAGCCCTTAGTGTGAGTGTTGGTAGCACAGAGGGACCTGCCTCATGAAAAAGACAGCTGCAGTGGCCTGGATGACAGCTTCTTGCAGGCTCAAATCAGAGACCAGCAGCTTTAACTGCAGAAGAAGAAAATATAGCAGCAGCAGGAGCTACAGAAAGGTAGAGAACAGAGTCCAGGATGTGCACCTGCTGGTGGCAGGGAGAGCAAGTTCACAAGGATTTGCAGCAGAGACAGAAAAGCTCTTGTAAAGTAAGAGCATTTCTTAGGTTTCTGTAATAGACCAAAGAGAGAAAGACTCAGGTCCTGGGTTCATAAGCCTAGAACTTTCCCTAGCTGCCAATAGTGCCTTTTAAGAAACAGCTGATAGCTGTCACCACACTTATAACTGGCAGCATGTTAACTCAGCATCTTATGTTTAACTAAATTGGTTACCAGATTCCTTTTACATATTAATTGGAGACCAGACTCTATAATAAAGAAATGCAAAGAGGTCTCTCCTGGCGTGGAAATCTCTGAATCCAGGCATCAGGCAGGCTGATTGGACACTGCTCAGGCAAGGTCAAGTTGGCCCACTTTCACTAGTTTGTAGAGAGAAAAGCTGGCTCTGTTGTTTCTCTGAAAGGAGACATTCATGATGACCTTCTAAAGAGTGTAAGGATGCATTTGCTGTTCTTCACCCATATAGTACAGGGATTTGCATGTACACATATTCTGAGATATGAGTACTTAAGGGTAGCAGTTCCACAATTCATCTCCTCTTAGGAACTATGACTTTGTTCTAAATTGGTACCAGTGGGAGAGGGGAGGTGGTGGAGAAAGGGCTAAGGAGTGTGAATATGGTACAAAAAATGTGTACACATGCATGTAAATGCAAAACTGATACCTGTTGAAACCATTTCATGAATGGAGGGAAGAGGGATGAAGGAGGGTGAAGGGAGTGAATTCAAGTATAATATATTTGATACATTGTAAGAACTTTTGTAAATGCTGCAATGTACCTCCCCAGCACAATAAAAATAAAATAAAATACAGTTTTAGAAATGTTCCCACTAACATTTTGTTCATAAGTGTGTATATTAAAATTGATTATAAGGAAAATATTAGAATTCAAATTCTGCTTGTGATAAAATATTCTTTGTCTCTCTCTCTTTCTTTCTGGCAGTGCTATGGTTTGAACTAAGGGCCTTGCATTTGCTCACAGGTGTTCTATGATTTGAGCTACATCCTCAGTCCTTTTTTAGTTTTACTTTTGCTTATTTTTTAGATAGGGTCTCATGCATTTTGCCTAGGTCCTGTCTTGAACTGTGATCCTACAAATAGCTGGGATTGCAGACATGCACCGGTAGGCCCAGCCTGAGATGTAATTGTTTACTTTTCCTCTAAAACTATTACTGTCTGGGTGTCAGGACGCTGTACTCTCCTGGTGTACTGCCACCATCCCTGGCCACATCTTCTTGGTCGTCTTCACCTCTCCAACTTTTAATGTTTAACCAAGGACCTCTTTTCATCTGCGTATATACTTATTCTGCTTGTCACCTCTTCTACTGTATGGCTTTCAATGCCATCTACATGTTGTCAACTTACAGTTTACTCCTCCAGTCAAACCCCTCACCTGAACACCAGATTCAAAAGTCTACCTGTTTACTTCTCCTCCACTCAAATGTCTCTACCCCCAAATCCTCACCTTGAGAAAATTTTTTTCTCAAGTACCATAACCTCATCTTCCCATAAACCAAAATATCTGGGAGTCATTCTTAACTCCTGGCTTCTTCAAATATTCACATCAAATTGTCAACAAATCTTGTTGGATTTGTCTGTAGAATGTTTCTAGAACCTGACTAGGTCTCACTACCTCCACTGCTATCCCCTGGCCTATCATTGCTGACTAGACAGCTGTCTCAGCCTTCTAATTCCTCTCCCTGCTTCTGTGCTGGGCTCCTCTAGGTTCTTCCCCACTCAGCAGCCATGGTGACTATGCTAAAACACAGGTCAGATCTAGTGGTTGCTTCCCTATTCAAAGCCCTCCATTGGCTTCCAGTTTACTCAACATGAAAGTTCCAGTTCTCATAATGACCCAGACAGTCTGTATCCCTCCCCATTCTTCACTGCTTTTCACCTTCCCCCACACACACTCTGGTCCCTTCCTTATTCCTCCAGCACACTTGTAACCTCCTGCCTCTGGCTTTACATTTATCAGAACATGCTTCCCCAATACCCTTGTGACCTGTTCCCAAATAACACCTTCTCCCCCCACCCTTTCCTGGCAATGCTAATTAAAATTGTGATTGATGAACTATTTTAGGGAGATCTCATTTGCATTCTGTCTCAATAATTTCAACTGTAATAGAAAATAGCAGCCATTGCCAGGATGAAGAGAATGAAACTTGCTGTCTAGTCCTAGCTACATCGCCAACCAGTTGGGTCCCTTGGACTACTTGTTCTTGACTCTGAGGCTTGGTTTCCTCACATGCATAGTGGGAATAATGTCCTGTCCACTCACAAGACATTATGAGGTAATGCATATTTCAAACAATTACAAGGCATACATTCAACCCAAAGCAGTATATAGCTGGGACTCTTCCTTCTCTGAGGAGTAAACAGTTTTGTGAAAGAGGAGAACAGAGTGCTCAGTATTCAGGAACAACTTACCTTTTAGACCGCAGAGTCCACACATGGCTGCAAACACTGTAGATTCCATTTCGATATTCCTCACACCAGCTTTATACGCTCTCTTCAAGTAATCTAACTTTTTTTCTCTAGAAAAGGAGCATAATGCTCCATCTAGTCGACCTTGTCCTGAAAGAGGATGGAGAACATTTAGTGACCTGATGTCTCACCTCATCACCAGGAAGCTGAATCAGTACAGAGGACCATGAAGCAACGCTGTGACTGGCTTGTCTCATATGTAGGGTAGAGTGTCCACGGCTAAGTGTCCCAGTTGTGAGGCAAGTAACACCTCAAGGACTGTAGCAGCTAGTGTGCTTCCCCAGGACATCAGGAGCTGTGGTGGGGACGGGTCCAGGAGAGAGCAGTCCTTTGAAGAAAACCTCAAGCTTCCCCAGTGACTGAGGGATGGCCCAGATGGAGGTGCTGAGGGAAAGAGGCTTCATGCCTCAGTGATGCTCCCAAGGTAAGTAAGGATGAGGATGGTGGTTTGGACAGTGCAGCTTTCCATATGGTTATTATGACAGTGACAGCCAGATGACAGCCCTCATGTGCCCACCTTTTCCCTGCACTCATCCCTGAGCTGCATGCTGCCCCTTTGCTCTCACTCCTTTTCTAGATTGCTCTTAGTGTTCATGTGTCACTTAATTTCACTTGGGTCTTTTTGTGGAGACAGAATGAGGTGGAGAAATCCTAGAAGCACTCCCTAGGGGGGCCCAGATTGAAGTGGGTGAGCCAATAACATTCCATCATCACCCATTATTTGCATAATCGTCTTTGGCCACTTTTCTTCTCTTTTTCTCCCTGTCCTTTTTCTCTCTTTCATGGTGCTGCCTCATTGACTGTCAAACTCTCCCTCTTCCTTCCCTTCTCTTTAGCGCTACCTGCCAACACCTTTAACATAGTGTTATTCAAGCTGATTCAAACTCAGATGTTCCAGAAGCCCAGCAGGTAACGTCGACAGAGGGGCTGCCTGGCCTGATGGAAGTTGCCTCATCTCACCTCCAGAGCATGTGTCCCCTGGTGAGGGCCAGGGCTTCTATGCATACGTCATTTTATATTTTTATGTTACCTTATGTTATTTCAAAAAGCCAAAAATCTGGATTTTCATATGAAATCTCCAGAAATTACAAATGCTGGCATAATAATTCACATTTTAAAAAATACTGCACAGGCCAAAGAAAACATTGAGTCTAACAGGCTGCCATTTGCAAGCTCAGTCTTAAACACATGGATGGCTAGGTGACCCTGCAGATGAAGAGACTGTGAGCCAGTGGCCTGGGATGAGGGTCCTTACCCTGTCATAGTCAATACCCTTCCTATTTTAAAATAAATATGTGGTGAAATACCTTTACTAACCTGAACTAAACATCTAGAGTACAATCTATCTCCTATGAAATTTTTAACAATTCAATGTAATACCTAAAGTTCAATAATTAGCAAAACAAGTAATTTGTAATGAAATCATGACACAATATGATTTCAATATGAAAATAATTACTCTGCAGGATTTCCTGAGTGCCCTTCATGGTACAATGTATATATTCTCTCTTCTGAAATGAACAAGATCTGTCCTTGAAGGGTTTTTTTTTTTTTTTTTTTTTTTTGGCCTTTACCCTCACCCCTTGGAGCAGAGTTTTCTTGACAGTGACCTTCATTTTGTCTCTAAACTATGTGTGGGGACCCTTTACTCATGGTTGAGAAATGAATGCTTTACTCTGAGACCACTTTATCCCTGTGGGTTTTGTTTCCTCAAACATTTCTCCCCATTTTCTGGTTACCATTCTTGCCTGTGGTACAAGTGGATGGCAGAAACATAGGACCAACATATTTCCCCTTTCCTAGAGTCACCAATTTAAGTTAAATGTATAACAGAGATAAGATTTTGTCAACATCACTAATTGCATTTTAGTATTCAATTTGTTCTTGGAGGATTAAACTCACACTCAATGTAATTCATTCTGCATATTTTTCTGCTGCTTATTAGACCCTTATGTTGCTATGCTTTAGTAAGTTAAAAGGCTCTTTATATTACTTTTTAATCCACAACTATTAATTTCTAAGGTGGAGTTTTTAATAGAAATTATGGGTTTGAAAACAAAGAGTTGCTGGCATTTTTCTGTTGCCTTCATAGGGTATACATTAGTCTCACCTTCATAAAAATCATAGGTACACATCGTGTGTCCCATGAGGGTTGGAATGTTGGGAATTTCTTTGCTACAGTTGAACAGTTCTTCAGCCAGTTCCTTGTCAAGTTCAGTACTTCGGGTGACAATGTTGTCCAAGATGACCTGCTCAAACCGGGGCTTGAAGAAGGAGTCTACAGCTGTATCTGTTATTACAACAGACCCTGGTGCGATCCCTGTAACATGAGAATAAATAAGTGATCACAGAAGAACATAATTTAGAGTTTACTTTTGTGACACATAGTATATAACTTATTCTGCCAACATTAATTAATGCTGGTTGCTAATGATTCTCCCTGTTTTCATCTTTAAAATTATTTTCTTTTCCAAATGTAATTAAATAGCATTCAAAACAGGCATTTCCATTTGCTGTCTTTCCAGATTCACATTTACAATGTGATGGGGTTTAGATTTGAAGACAAACATGACTCTTGGACATGCAAATTAGTATCAGCCTTCAGGCTTGAATTTGAATAAATTAGGTCAGGAATAAACTAAATAAGCCTGCCAGCAAGTAGCTTTCATAAAGTGATGTGACTACTTGATATTTAATCTTCCCTGCAAGTCCTTGATTGCTATAACTTGTTGGCAGTTCCCTTCTCTCCTCCTTCTGATTCTCATCACGTTCATTCCCTCTCCTCCCTGACTCCACGTAAATCAGGCCTCTTGGCTGACCCCCCCCCCCAACCTTGCTACAAAGTCTGGTTTGCTCACAGGACCCAGGCTCACTTGAGAAACCATTTTCTGCCAACTCTTACTCTCCCTGCCTGGAATGAGTTCTCATCCTTCCCAATGCCTTTTCATCACACTAACACCAACTCATTTGTCAGGTGTGAGCTTAAGTCACTTCCTTCAAGAGGTCTGAATCCTGAGGGAAAAGTAAAAATAATAAACACAGATAGGTGACTCTCAATTTTGAGAGCCTGAATAAAAAGATGCATCTTAATATTGCTCTAGACTCTCTGTCCTAACACTTACCACACTTTTTGCAATTATTTGTTTATTTCTCTGATAGAACACAAGCTGTCTGAAGGCAGGATTGTACCTGTTTACTGTTCTATTTCTAGCACTGTAACTTGCCACATTATGGGTATTTAGTAGACATTTGTTGAATAAGTAAAGACACCATAGAGCCCAGGTCTGCAAATTCTAGCCCACAGGCCAAACTTCACTTGCCTTAGTAAACCAAGTTTTATTGCAACATGGTCACACACTTACTTACATACTGTCTTCTGGTTCTGAGTTGTGGTTTGGAGTTTAGAAGTTTCAACAGAAATCACATGATCTGCAAAGCCTAAAATATTTACTATCTGGCAATTCATAGGTAAATTTTGCCAGTCTCTGTTATGGAACTTGGCCTTTTCCTAGGTAGTTTAAATTCCAGTACTGATCTAAGTAGAGTTAATTACAAAACATTTTAAAAGATCCAACTAGAGTCCCAAGGTGGCCTCTGAAGACAGAGCTTTGATGAGTTAGATACTTTTTAATAAGTTAAATAAGTGGCTTCTGGAGTTGTTCACAATGCCTGAGAATAGGAAAGAAGTTGAGAAGGAAGTTGAACATGTGTGCATGCAAAATTATGTCACTCGTGTACCATCTTAATACTTAGATGCATCAGCATTTATGTCATGGTGAAAGTCCCTCAAAGGCAAAAGTATTTAATCAAGTACCTTTTCCCTTCCAGGGTGTGTTTGCTCATGTAAGAAATGATCATGTCAGCAAAGAAATAAGCTATACTTCCTTCATCTTCAAATGCAATGCTGTTTAAAACAAACCAAACAAATCTATTTTACTTGTAAACTGAGAGTTTTTAATGAGGCTGTAACTTGAAGAGGAAGGTGTCCACACCAGTATTCACAGGTCTTCATTGTGATCTTTGTATTGTCACATTGCAGCATGTATCATGTTGTCATGAATCAAAAGACAATGACCATGAGCTGGATGGTTACTAGAGTACCTTGTCTTTTTTGGGCACTCATGAATATCAAGTGGCACCTGCAGCATGGTACCATGCATAGGTGTGAGGTAAGGAGATAGATCCTTATATCCTACAACCCAAGAATTATAAGCAACCTTAATAACAGTACTATCAATTTCATCCCCAGATGATAATTTTGGGTATTATTGGATTAACTACAATCTAGAAGGATGTTTGTTCTAACATTAATTGCTTATATTCTCCATTTCTCTTTGGAAGTACATCCATGCATATCATTTCTTGCATGTTTGAGTCCATTGGCTGGACTTTACTCCCGGATCATAGCTGTGGAAAGGCCATAATCTTTTTAACCTGCCTGCTTTTAGTGAAGCTTGGCTCAGCCCTCTCTGACTGTGATATTGAATACGCCACATCTCTACTTTGAGAATTTTTGAGATCTCATGTTGCTCCAAATTCTTTCTTATGTAATCCTAAGATCATTTCTCTTTCAAAATCTCACCCCTTTTATAGTGCCCAATCAGCCTTCTCACTGTGTCAGCCAAACCATTCTGGCAACAATGCCTTGTGTATATTTGCATGTGGTGACATGGTAATATCATACCCTGAGAAGATCTTCTTAAGAAAAGGCAGAGGAAGGAAAAAATTTCCTCAGAACTTTATCTCAGCACAATCTAGAAGTATAAGAAAGGTCCCTTTATAGCTGCCTGACCAGCCAAAAGAGAAGGAAGGAAGGGAGATTCTGGAACAACCTTAAGAAGCATTATTTGAACTTCCCTAAATGCCCATCTGGCCTCTTTTTGGTGTACTGATGAGGAAATGATACAGCCAAGAAAAGGGATGTATTCACTGAGATGAGCCAAAGCAACATTTTCCTAAGAGCTATGAGGCCTATATACTTGGCTGATAAAACAGACAAATCTATGTATTTTTTTCTACTTGAACACCTTAAAACTTACTCTTGGACAGGCATGGTGGTTCACATCTGTAATCCCAGCACTCAGGAAATTAAGGTGGTAGGATCACAAGTTCAGGGCCAGCCTGGGCTACATATTGAGTTCAAATCTAGCTTGCATGTATAGTGAAACTCTGTCCCAAAAACAAAACAAAAACTTACTTCTTTCCTCAAAACACATTCTCTAGCCATTCTACTCTTCTGCATATGAATATCTAAGACCTTCTGGGTAATAGGTAATGGGATGTCTTCCACCAGGTTTCTATGGAAGAAAAAAAATGAAGAAAAGAAAAAGACAATGTGTGCAGATTTCCTTAAATTTCCTCAAGTCCAGCCTCTTGACTTTTTTTTTTAAAACCCATCTGGGTTTCTGTTGGGCTCTGAATATGTTGGTGTATTTTGAATGAACATAAGAATATATATAAAAACTACTCATTTTTAATGGTAGAAATAACCCAGCTCACCTATTCCTCCTGATGTACCAATTCTGATAATGGTGACATCACAGCACCGTGCATGGTGTAGTAATTTGATGAGCTCATGAAGCATAATAGAAATGGAGGGGATGCCCATGCCATGCTGTTGAGAGAAAAGAGAGTCATTATATATCTCACAAATGGATACATGAACAGGACATATTTTCTTCCTTTGTTACAAGTTAACAGCCCTCAGATAAATTTACATAATCATTAAGTCTTTGCCAATGCTGAGGAAAACATAAGTCATCTCTAATTGTCGCTTACATGATGTGCTGATGGATATATCCATCTGTGAGGATCAGAGAGAGCATCTCACTGAGAGTTAAATTGAGCTCAGTCCTCATCATCAGGAGCAGAGGTGGGAGGGTGTGGTGTACAGGTGTGTCAGGGCAGTGCCATGTCTCATGTCCTCATTGGGTTCTTTTTGATGAGCCTATATAAAGAGCTTTTTGCCTGATTGACTTGATATTAAGGAAACAATTTTGGCTGGCATGGTCACATGGCTCCACCATAGTAAGTGAAATAGTAAATTCATTGCATTGTTCTCACGTGGCCTTAATCATTTACTGCTAATTCTGTGTGAGCGCTGAAGGATTCTAGTGAAGAAACACAGATTTAATTCCCATCCAAGAATTTGAAGCTTATACGAAAGGTGTGGGTGAGTTTAAATTGCTACAGATGCTGGTTTTCTTCAGCTTTTAGAATCGATGTCATCCAGCATAGGCTAGAGGATTTAGCAACTACTGGTTGTTAGACCATGTTCTAATAACTCTTCAGAAAGATCTTCCATGCTGTCATTTGTAGAAATTAGAACTGAGTTTCCTATCAATGGTTACTTCATACCTAACATAACAGCATAAAGACCTTGGAAAACCACAGGAGCCATAACCATAATGTTTTCACCTGAGCTCTCTCCTCTCCATGAAGAATATTAAACCATAGAAACTTTGAACCTCTGAGTTCACCATTTTTGGTTCTTGACTAATATGCTCTGACTTCTGAACGCATCGAAAGCCTTTTGGACCCAGGAATCAAACCTGTATTGATTTGCATGTTCAAGACTGACAAGTTAGGGAGTTTGGCACTAGCTCTGCAGCTAATTAATAAACTGTAAATTAAGATGAATTATTATTTGATTTATAAGATTCCTTCAAAGTCAGATATTTGGTAAGTTTATGATTATCACTTATTTCGCCACAGGGTAATTAAATGACAGATGTACTTACGTGTTTCTGCTAAAGTTGTGCTCTCTCTCTCTCTCTCTCTCTCTCATACACACACACACACACACACACACACACACACACACACACACAGACTCCTCAGCAGCTGTGGAGAGATTTTCAAAAGGGTCCCCATTGGGAATGCCCTCCCTGCTAATAAGTGCCATGTCTAATTGGCTAACCTTAACCAATTAAATAATGTTCCCTGACAGGACAGCAGGATGAGTCTACTGCTGTTTTTATACCTTACACTTAAGCTTTACTACTCACTTATGGTAGTTTCACTTTAAAAAAAAAAAAACTTACCTTTTTGTCCTTCCCTATTTAGTGTGCAAAAAAAGGCAAATGTTATAATTTAAAAGACTCACAAAAACTAGCAAGACAAGATTTGTCAAGATCACAGCATATTCAGTTTCTTTCTAATGCAGACACTCTATAATTGTTTATCAAATGAACAAATGAATAAATGAATGGATTCTGCCATGTGAGCCCACAGCAAGTTTCAGGCACTCTTGGCTGGAAGGGAAAACAATTTGGCTGCTCTAATGGCATTGTATACTTTGTCCTTTGCTACTCCAGGCTTCCATCCATGGTCACCCACACTCCACCATTGAATATTATAGGGATCTGAGCCATTAATGGATGGTGACTGTCCTGGGTATAGGAGCCACTTATAATTCAGTGCATCTCTACAGGACTCTCTCCCCTATCACCTGGCACACCTGCTTGTGACCTGTACAGGGCTGCAGTGTCTAGATATGTGATGGACTCAACCTTTGCTTCAGAGTACAGCTCTGTGCAGAGAGGCAGTTGAGAAAGCAGACTGGGCATTGACATGCAGTGTAGACACCCTCCTAAGTGCATGCCACTTAGGGACTATGGTCTGTGTGTTCCCTAAAACTGCAAATCATTCTACTTTTATGCTGTCTTAGGACATAGTGTGTGTCCAGAACTGTTAATATATTCTAAATGAGGGGAGAGCAATTCACAAGAACTCAGTAGAAATGCATTAGCAGCTTTTCAGCAAGCTTATCATAGTGTTAAAACAGCTCCACTTTAGCAATCCTAAAAATTGGGCCCTAGGTACTAAAAGCTCAACATTCCCCAAGCCAGATAAGAGATAGAGGAGAAAAAATGGCTGGGAAGGTGAGGGTGTTAATCAGTTACAAAATGAAGAAAGAAGGGCACACTTTGAAGGTCTTTTCTTACCTTGAAGAGCTAAGTGGGAAGTATAAACTAAAATCATACGTTGTGCTAGACTCTTTCCTGGAGACTTTGTTTCAGTAATAAATATAAGACCTGGACACTTGATTTAATTGTGTAAGGATGCAAAACAGGGTGGAGGTGGGTTGGTAAGAATTGTATTCAGAATTTTCCACTTTGGTCTCTAATCTTCGAAGACTAGCTGACCACAGTCATTGCGTACTTACGCTGATGGAGAGCACAGGGCCTGTTTTGAACATGCAATATCTGTCTGTTCCAGCGCAGATGTCTTTAATGTCTTCCTCACCTCCCTTCAACCCGAGCTCCTTGTGCATAAATACTGCAAATGCTTTCATTCTGTTGGGACTCCCACCAACACAGACAAACTGTCAATAAAAATAAACAAGTGCCTGCCATAATAACTGGGATAAGAATCAAGGATCAATTTCTAACTGTAAGGTTTTTATTTTATTGTTCAGTTAATTTACTTAAGAGAATATGTAGGTGTCATGGGTTATGTTCATGAATTAGCTAATCTGCATCACTAACCTATAAAGAAGGCAACCAGATGTAAAGTTTTACGTGCTAAATTAGTGAAGAAAATCAGAAAATCGTAGTAAGTGTTGACATTGCTCAGGAGGTATTTCCTGGTGGGTTTGTTTACAGTAACATCAATCAGCATCTAATTGATATAATCAGCCTAGTGTTGGGTCTTAACCCAATATATGCTTAGCATGTAAGCACTGAGAACATGGGATGCAAGTGATGTGAGAGGAAAAGAAGAACCCAGTTCATAAGTGTTTTCTGATTCCACACCCTCAATCATAAGCTTTTTAAAATAAAATGTGCTGTGATAACTTAAAGGTTTAGAGGAATCACGTCAATACTTTTCAACTTCTCATCGAGAAGAAATTCTCATGGAACAAGCTTTATTATAATAAATCTGGAATCTTATTGCAGGATTTCATCCATTTCAGTGATCTGGTTGTATTTTGTTTTATTCACATTCTATCATCTTTGATATCAAGGTAGGTGTTACAGTCAAAGGTGTCACAACTAATAAAATACAATAATAAAATTGGCAGTTTCTGTGCAACAGCTCTTGGAGATACATCAGCTCCAGGGATAGTGGCCTGTTAATGGCATGGATGAGCAGCCAGCAGGGTGAGCACCAGGGGTCAGCAACAGAGAGGATGGACACAGCAGAGGGTCTGAGAGCAGAACATACAGAGGAGCATTGGGCAAAATATTGCCAGGAATCTAAGCCAAGCAGTGTGGTACGCAGACTGTGAGGAAGCTCTAAGACAAAGACAGAAGGAACATGGTAGTAAACAGCCTGCCCTTTAATGCTAGATAAACCTGGCTTTGAACTCTAACCCCATTGTTGATTAGGTAACTGGCTCAATAAGTGTGATCTCTCTGTGTTTCAGACCATCATCTCCAAAATAGGAAAACACAGTAGCCTTCAGAGGGTTTGCTTTGTCAAGATGAAATGAGATTGCATGTGACAAAGGACACAGAACAAATCCAGCCACCTGCTCAGTATTCACAAATGGTGACTTATTTTCCATATCATCTAACAATTTCCTGGCTTTCCTTTTGAGCTCGCTTATTGTTTCTATATTGCAGAATTTGGTGAAAATTAAGCTGGGTCAAGTCCTCTAGGAGAGAAAAGGCAGTTAGTGGTGCCTGACTGACATAGTCGGCTTTGGGCAGAGAATGAGAAGCAGGGTGAGCATAGCCCCTCAAAGAGACAAAGATCTAAGGAAATACCTAACTGAGGCTGTAGGGTGGGCACCCCATTCACGGAGGTAGACTGCTAACTATTGGGTGGTCTGAGTACACGATGCATTCTGTTTCCATTTAGCAATAATTCCTGTGCCGCACGTACCCATTCTCAGTTATGGGATAGAATTATCCTTTTATACAGGCCTTGTGCTTCTCATCTGCCCTCATCATTGTCTATTCTGTGGCTTCTTAGGTCTTTCTCTGATGGGGCCTTAAGCTAGTGACGAATTGCAATGGAAGTCAGCCACAAAGGCTGGGTAGCAAAAATGGTAAGACATTATTTAAGGTGAGTTTTTCAATTATTATCAGCTATTCATGGTCCTTTCTCCTCTGTTGGTATGAGCAGTTAAGACTTGGATCAAGATCTATGTTCAAGACGATCTTTTTTAAAAACTAAAATACAGTAGTTTGAAAATAACTTCACTGTGTGGTGCCAGTGAATGTAAATTACAACTATTCAGAATGACCATAAAGCTGAAACAGATGTTAGAATAGCTTATGGTTTGAGTTCTTCTTTGAACTGCAGATATTGCTGTAATCAACAGGAATTGCTGCATATTTCTGGAGACATAAAGATGATATGCGTAGACAGAGACAGCTTAGTTCTTAAAACCTTGACTCCTAAATCAGACTTACTAAACAGCACCTCCAGACATGATTTTTAGTTTAGCTGCTTTAACGACAAGTAAAATATGGCTGAAGACCACCAACCCACGTTGACCTTCAGAGCCAGTTACTGTGATTTATGTTCCAAACAACATGGACTTGGTCCTGGTTTTATCAAAAGAAGATAGAAATGCATCGGGAGGGAGTCAGAGGCATTACAAAAACATGTTAAGGTCTTTGTCTATTGACTGTCAGAACAAACTCACTTTCAAATTCCCCAACATCTTAAAAGACATAACTGCCATGTTATATTAATCTAGTACATAAAAGCAGTTAATATATTTTGTCTATTAACAAAGAAGTATAAACTCCTTAAAATGCATATTATAGAGAGCCTTAGAAAGTAATGATTTTCCAAGTCACTTGAAATTTCTTGGAATAGATAGGAGGGTGCCAGTTAGTGGTTTAATAAAAGACATTATAGAAGTGATTATAAAGATATACTAGGATGTTGAATTTGAAAATTAACTTCTAAGGATCCTCCACCATGTTTTTCAATTGTTTCATTCTTTCCAGTGAGTATGGCAGACACTGACGAGCTATTTGCCAAAACTGTTTCCTCTTCTCTCTGGTCTTACTGTTAATCTTAACTTCCCAGGCTCCTTTCCAGTTAGATGAGGCCATATGCCCAAGGTCCATCCAAAAAACGTAAGCAGAAGTGAAGTGTGTGCCACTTCCAGTCATAGCCCAACTGCAGGCAGGATATTGTAACTCTACATATCATCTTCATCCATGGGTTGGGTGGGTTTGACACCCAGCAAAACTGCAAGCCACTCCTTGAAGGTGACAGAGCAGCTAGATGCAAGAAGACAGGGTAACTGAATGTCCAGTTGGAGGAAAGCCATCCATCGACCAGGAACACCTGCTCTGTGCTTAATGTGAGTGAGAAGTAAATTTACAAGGTGTTAATCCACTAAGATTTTGCAGGATCAGGTAGAAAAACCTTTAGCGTAATAAGGATATGAAGTAAATAGTGGTGATTGACAGAGTCTTTCGGGTTTAAGCTTTATTCTTCTAGAGTTCTTTCATTTGAACACAATGCTATAATATTGATAGTCATCTCTGTGAGGACAAGGTTGAGTTTTCAGGTCCTGATGGGCTATGTCCTCCCTTCTTAGCCAGCATTGCTGCTCTGGGATGTAAAGCAGTCAGGAAACTGGGCCTATAAAGTCCTTATTTAGAGGCAAGAATGTGGCTGCTCTCCATAAAGAGCAGAGAAGAGACAGAGACTCAGACGTATAGATAATAGATTACTGTCTGTGTTGAAAAGCATAACCTGTCTTTTTAATGTATTAACTAGATTGTACCTTAGTTTATTAATTATGACGAGCCTTCTATTCATCAGAGTCATGCCAGATAAGGGTCCAGGAAAAGTGATTGTGAGGCATGAACCTGAAACCTACCACTTGAATTCTGGTAAAATTGAATTAGTGAGTTGAATTCAGGTAAAATTGAATTAGTGAGGATCAGACACAGCTTTGATCACTGACTATGGGAAAGTAAACATGAGAAACAGCAGAAAGGAGAAAGGTTGTGTTTAAAAGGTGAAGCAGGAGATGGGTGAGGTCACACAAAGGCAAGGAGCATCAGTCTGGAAGTCCTTCCTTCCTTCCGTCCATCCTTCTTTCCTTCCATCTTTATTCCTTCCTTTTCCTCCCCTTCTTTCCCATCCTCTTCCATCTTCTTTTCTTCTTCTACCTAATTTCCTCCTCCTCTTCTTCCTCATCATTTTTTCACCTTCATCCCTATTCCAATTGATGGGCTATTCTGACTTATTGCAACTAGGAGTCCACCTTGCACAACAAGCAAGAACCCTGGAAATTGGATTTAGAACTTGGTCCAAGTCCCAGATCCAACTTTAACCTTCTTTGACCTCTCTGAATTAATTCCCTTTGATCATTTTATCATCCTAAACAAATAGATCTAAATGTCAAAAATCTTTATGAATAAAAATATCCATGAGTCCTTTTATAATGAAAAATATTTTAACACAAAAATTGAAAATAGATTATGCAATTATGGTTCAGTCTCTTCAGCTCCATTAACATATGTTTCAAAGAAAAAGTAACAATATGAAAAAATATTAATAACATAAAGTTAAATAAAAATACAGAATGCAAAGTTATATCATTACAACTATTTTAACATTTGTTCATTAGAAGGGAATGGAAGAAAAGAAAGTGGATGGACGATATAAGGTTTAGGTGGTAGGACTATGGTATGTGTTTTACAAACTCAATGTTCTTTTTTTATATTTTCCTAATTTAAAATAATGAACAAGAATTGTTTTATAATTAATATATATAAGATAAAATAAATCATACAGCACTATGATTTTCCTGGCAGTATTCCATAAGCAATTTTCTTGTGAAACATTTCTTATGAAATAACAAAAATATTTTAATAAAATGAAATATTGGGTAATGGATTATTTTCAAGAAGTGGAATAATAGAGTATTGTTAGTTTTGTTGAATTCTTTTATGATTTAATAAAATGAGAATTAGTGAAGCTCAGCAATAAATGTAGATTTTGTAAACTGAATCTGTTAAGACATCATGAATTCTGAATACCCATTAGTATTGTCAATAAAATTGTATATATCTCCAGGGATCAGAGCAGTCAAGTAATTAGGTTTGCATCAGATTTAGTTTGGGAAACTTTATGTCTGGTTGAGGTGGAAATAATTGTTTGTGATGCTCTCATTCTAAACTGCTTTAGAGAATTAGTGTGGCTTTGGTTCCCATTGAGACCTCTGACATTTCTCTAGCCACTAGTCTAAGTTTATTTGTGGAAAGCAAAACCTAGCAGAGAAAATGCAATTATTTTTCCTGAAGTTAGAAATATCTTTACCTTTACATCCCCAAACATTGCCGGGAGGTTGTGTGTTTTTGTTCCTAAGTCCAAGTGATAGAGAATATCTTCATCCATAGTATCCAGGTAAGGATTTTTAACATGCACAAACCTTTTTCTGGGGAAAACACACACATATATACATAAGAAGATATAAAGATATTTGGAGAGAAAGTACACAAAAGAAAGGCTACCTATGATTACCACTAACCCAAGTACTACATACAAACCTTTTGTAATTAAAAGCAGTATAATAATGTCAAAAATAATGCTAACATTTGCTATACCCTATGTGCCAGACATGTACCTAAGCATAAAAATTGTAGGGCTGGTAAGAGAGGCTCAAGTGATAGAGAACCTGCCTACCAAGCATGAAGCCCTGAGTTCAACCCCTAGTACCACAAAAAAAAGGAAAGAAAGAAAAGAAAATTGTACAATGGCATGAAAACTACATAAAATAAATTAACTTCTTTATTTCCATAACCACTTTATTAGGTAAATAATGTTAAAAATCTGATTTATGAATGAAGAAGCCACAGCATATAGAAGTTGAGAAAGAGAGATTCCAAGATGTCGGCTAGAGGGAGGAAGCAGAAAGCGAGCCTCCTATAGTGAAATCTTGGAGATATGCTGTAGACACACTTTGCAGGCATAATCACTGAGAAGAGGCTTAACTTTGACCCCTCCACACCTCCAGCCAGCACAGAGAATCTCCACTTCACATTAAACGGAGAAACCAGGAGGGCCCCTGGGCCGCCAGTTGCCCACGCCCAGATGGCTTGGGAAGACGCAGACCAGGTGCGCTTCGTGGTACCGCGGTACTCCCACAGACAAGCCTGGGCCAGAGCAGCATAGCCCCCTGGACAGACTGACCTCCACCCAGGGAAAAAAGAGAAACTGACTAATAAGCAATAAGAACAATAAAGACATGCGGGAAAGAGGGTGGGGTGCACTGAGCACCAAAGATTGGGGGAAGGGAATCCTTCCCGGGACTGTAAATAAACAAGCCGGGAGGGCCAGAGAGGCTCTGGTGGGAGCGGGGGCACACACCCAGCAAACAGGAATGGGAAAGCTTGTGAGAGTGGTGGAGGGAGGAAAACTCCATAAGAGAGGAGGGAAGACCCACTTCTCACGTGAACTGTAAACAAACATGGCGGCTGGCAGGAGCAGCAGCACCACCCAGTAATCAGGAGCAGGAAAGCTTGTGAAAGTGGCAGTGGGAGGAAAACTGCACAGGAGATGGGGGAAGACCCACCTCCCACATGAACTGCAAATAAACACGCAGGCCTGAAAACGCGGGTGCAGTGTTACCTTTCCAGTGTGCTTGGAAAGGGGAAAGCTTGTAGCAGAGGCTCCCGCACAGGAGAACTCTGAGCAAACAAAGCCTGTGGGGCCAGGTGAGTGCTAAGCTCACCCCAGAGATCTGCATAAATAACACCGCCAGCAACAGCAGGCTTACAGCAGCAGGCAGGCAAGCCACAGCCAAAGATACCATTCTTAGAACTGTCTCCAGACTCTTTATTTTTTCTTCTTCTCCCTACCTTTGATGAGAGAACAACCAAATTACACCTGAAAAACTTACTGAAACTGTATTGCATTTGAACTTGGGACACTTGGTGGGGTTTTTGTGTGTGTGTGTGTGTGTGTGTGAGTAGTTTTGTTCTACTTTATACGTCCCCTTTGATGAGACAAGTACAGAACATCTGAGGCACCATCTCCAATTGGAAACTGAGATGGACACCCCAATTACTAAGACTGAAACTTCATTGCATTTCAATTTGGAAGTTTTTTGGTTTTTTGTTTTTTGTTTGTTTTAATTTTCTATTTTTCATTTTATTTTAATTCATTTTTATATATAGATATTTCTTTCATTTACTTATTTTTTATTTTTATTCTTATCTTTATTTTTTTTATTTTTGATTTTCAATCCTCTCTCTGTCTCGCTAATGTCTGTTCAGCTTACTGTCAATTAGTACACTAATGCTCCCTGTTTATACCTTTGAACATTCCTGTCTGATACCTTGTTCTTTTTTCTCCTTCTTGTCTGTGTATTTGTTTTTCCCTTTTCTTTAACTTCTTGCTTTCCATCTCAGCTCACCCTTCCATTCTAAATATTACCATTGTTATTATTACAAGCTAGAAAATACTTAATTGCACACAGTACAGGGACAGTAACAACACCAAAGACAATGACAGGAAGACAGAAAAAACAGGGAAACCAGTTTCCCCACAGCAAAAAATTAGTACAGGAACCAGAGGGGAATGAAGAAAACAGATACTCAGATCCAGACTCCAACAAAATGAAGATAAACTATGCCAAAGGACCCAATGAAGCCCACAAGAATAATTTAAAAGAAGACATACTACAGGTACTCAATGAGAATTTTATAGAGATGATACTGGATAGGGTCAACCAAAATGTACAGGAGACACTCAAGAAATTCCAAGACAACAAAATAGAGAATTTGAAAAAGCAAAAGAAGAAATAAAGGAAACCATAGAAGCACTGTATAAACACCAAAGTGAAACAGAGAACACAATGAATAAACAGATAAATGAACTCAGGACAAAAATAGACAACATTAAAGAGGAAACCACCCAGGATATGGAAAACCTCAGAAAAAAGAATGAAACAGAACTGCAAAACAAAATGGAAGGCCAATCCAGCAGAATAGAACAAACAGAAGACAGAATCTCAGAACTTGAAGATGAAATGGTAATTAAAGGAAAAACAAAGAACTATTAATTAAACAACTCAAGACCTGTGAAAAGAAAATGCAAGAACTCACTGACTCCATCAAAAGACCAAACTTGAGAATCATGGGCATCGAAGAAGGAGAAGAGGTGCAAGCGAAGGGAATGCGTAATATATTCAACAAAATAATAACGGAAAATTTCCCAAATCTAGAGAAAGATATTCCCATACAGATGCAAGAGGCCTCCAGGACACCAAACAGACCAGATCAAAATAGAACTACCCCACGACATATCATCATTAAAACAACAAGTTCAGAAACTAAGGAAAGAATATTGAAGGCTGTAAGAGAGAAAAAACAAGTAACATACAAAGGTAAACCCATCAAAATCACAGCAGACTTCTCAACAGAAACATTAAAAGCAAGAAGAGTGTGGGGTGAGATCTTCCGGGCACTGAATGAAAATAACTTCAACCCCAGGATACTCTACCCAGCAAAACTATCATTCAAAATAGATGGAGCAATAAAAGTCTTCCATGATAAGCAGAAACTAAAACAATATGTGACCACAAAGCCACCACTACAAAAGAATCTTCAAGGGATTTTGCACACAGAAAGTAAAACCCAACTTAACCATGAAAAGGCAGGCAGCACCAAACAGGCAGCAAAAGAAAAAGCAAGACAGTAGAGAGTAACCTCAACTTAGGTACACACAATCAAACCTTCAAACAACTAAGACAACTAAATGACAGGAATCACCACATACCAATCAGTACTAACACTTAATGTTAATGGACTTAATTCACCCATCAAAAGGCACCGCTTGACGAAATGGATTAAAAAGGAAGATCCAACAATTTGTTGCTTATAGGAGACCCATTTCACCGACAGAAATAAGCATAGGCTTAGGATGAAAGGCTGGAAGAAGATTTACCAAGCCAATGGCCCCCGAAAACAGGCAGGAGTAGCAATACTTATCTCGACAAAGTAGACTTCAAACCTACATTGATCAAACGAGATAAAGAAGGACATTCCATACTAATAAAAGGGGAAATAGACCAAAAGGAAATAATAATCATCAACCTGTATGCACCCAATGTCAACGCACCCAATTTCATCAAACATATCCTGAAAGACCTAAAAGCATATATAAACGCCAACACAGTGGTTGTGGGAGACTTTAACACCCCCATTATTATCAATAGATAGGTCATCCAAACAAAAAATCAGTAAAGAATTCCAAGATCTAAAATATGCAATAGATCAAATGGACCTACTTGATGTACAGAACATTTCATCCAACTTCTACACAATATATATTCTTCTCAGCAGCCCATGGAACCTTCTCCAAAATAGATCATATCCTAGGGCAAAAAGCAAGCCTCAGCTAATATAAAAAAATAGAAATTATACCATGCATACTATTTGATCACAATGCAGTAAAAGTAGAACTCAACAACAAAAGTAAAGACAAAAAACATGCAAAGAGCTGGAAACAATAACTCATTACTTAATGAAGAATGGATCATCGATGAAATAAAAGAGGAAATTAAAAAGTTCCTGGAAGTCAATAAAAATGAAAACACAACCTACTGGAACCTATGGGACACAGCTAAGGCAGTCCTGAGAGGAAGTTTATAGCCATGAGTGCATCTATTAAAAAGACTGAAAGATCCCAAATTAATGACCTAATGATACATCTCAAACTCCTTGAAAAACAAGAACAAGCAAATCCCAAAACAAATAGAAGGAGAGAAATAATAAAAATAAGAGCTGAAATCAATGAAATAGAAACCAAAAAAACCATACAAAGAATTAATGAAACAAAAAGTTGGTTCTTTGAAAAAATAAACAAGATCGATAGACCCCTGGCAAACCTGACTAAAATGAGGAGAGAAAAAACCCAAATTAGTAGAATCAGGAATGCAAAAGGGGAGATAACAACAAACACCATGGAAGTCCAGGAAATCATCAGAGACTACTTTGAGAACCTATATTCAAATAAATTTGAAAATCTTAAAGAAATGGACAGATTTCTAGATACATATGATCATCCAAAACTGAACCAAGAGGAAATTAATCACCTGAATAGATCTATAACACAAAATGAAATTGAAGCAGCAATCAAGAGTCTCCCCAAAAAGAAAAGTCCAGGACCTGATGGATTCTCTGCTGAATTCTATCAGACCTTTAAAGAAGAACTGATACCAACCCTCCTTAAACTGTTCCATGAAATAGAAAGGGAAGGAAAACTGCCTAACACATTTTATGAAGCCAGTATTACACTTATCCCAAAACCAGGCAAAGACACCTCCAAAAAGGAGAACTATAGGCCAATCTCCTTAATGAACATTGATGCAAAAATCCTCAACAAAATAATGGCAAACCGAATTCAACAACACATCAAAAAGATTATTCACCA